TAGATATGATGTTGAAGCTGTACAATTGTTTTGTTTCGTTTTGACTGACTCAAAATCGGAATATACATTCGGGTATTGCCGCTTCTCTCCACGTAATAAGACATGTTTGTGTATATTAAGGTGAACAAATTACTTTTTTTTCAATCAATATTTCTTCATTTACTTTCAGCGGTTTGAAACTGCCAGAGTTCTTTTACAAACTTCTAAATGCTTTATCTGTTTTAAATGTCAGTGTTGAAGTAAGCATAGAACTCTATGACATCATCTTATTATACTTTCTCTGTTAAAGGAAGATGAACAATACAAACTTCTAAACTTAGTGTATCATACAGATATTCCTAGCCCTGGCCAATCAATAGACTTCAAATATGGATCAGGTGGAAATGTAAGCTATATATTTTATAGATTCAATCATTTTTATGATTCTATATAGAGTGTTAACTGTTATTTTCCCGAAAACACTATGGCTCTCAACCTCAAAGAAGATAAATTTATGTTAGAATTTGTAAATGCATTAACTACTAAACAGATGATTGCGTTGTATGCAAGGTAAGAGCTCTAGGACGTCTTCTATCTTCAATTTAAATTTTAGTGTTTTGAAAGAGAGACGAATAGTTTTCTCTGGTAAAAAATTAGGAATGATCAGCAGTTGCGTTTGTGCAACATCAAGTCTTCTTCATCCTATGAATTGGTTGGACTTGAAATAGTTTCTTTGAAGTAATTAGACTATTTCCAGGCAAGGTATTTTTATTCCTGTACTACCGGAGCACTTAGCTGATATGCTAATGGCCCCAATGCCTTTCCTCATTGGCGTTCCCAAACAAGTACTGCAGAACATGGTTACGTTTTCTCACGACTTGAAAATAATTTTTATTCAATTCCAGAAAATGGAGGAGTTGGGAGAGATCGTAGTTATAGACTTGGATGAGAGAAGCTTCCAAAGTCCATTCGATGACACTGCCTTACTTCCAAATGACGTAATAGAATGATGTTGACAGAAATTGAATTAATCCAACGTTTCAGCTGGTGATTCAATTGAAAAACTCACTCTCTAAAACGAATAATATGGGAAATTCTCATATCAAAGCGTTTTTACGCGTCAATGAAATTCTTTTCAGCGGATACAAAACGGGTTTCACCAAAGATGAACATGAAAACGTATGATGAACAGGATTGTGGAATAAATTGATTTGTACTATTGCAGAAAATATCCTGGGATCGTCAGAAATGGTTGAACAATCAAAAAATTTCACACCGTCAATTCTTGACTTCAATAACTGGAGCTGATGGAGTTCAATACTTCGAAAGAGTAAACTATATACAAAAGTGAATTAATTGATGATCCTTGTTATTTCAGTTCATTTGTGTTAGGCTCGAAGAATTGAACGCAGGGAGATCATTGTATGATGGTTTTCAAGGTTTATATGAAAAACCAGATAGCGACATTCTATCAAGTATCCGA